TTGCAAAATCTCGGCTCTCTTACAGGTTGCTGTCTTATGACAAACGGAGCGGAACTTTTTTCCTCTTTTTTTGAGGCGAAACAAGCTCGCGAATTTCAGAGGCGGCACTCATCTACCCCATGGTGTAAAGAATCCCCTCGCTCAAAATTCCGCATTCATTCGAAGCCCCCCCCCCCCGTGCGACGTCTTCTTACGTTGACGAATTCCTCCACCATGGTCCCATCTCTCGATCTGAAAAACACATTATGGAATCGAGATTATTCTTTAATTGAGATCATTCGAATGAAATTCGCTTGCGCGAGAACGGAAATGGGAAGGGCGAGGGCATGAATTATCGTGCGTTTCTTCCCGCGCGCTGCGCCGCGCGGAAGCGTTCGGTCTGCAAGTGGGCGAGAAGCTCGGGAAATGTGAATGTACGGCGGATGAAATCCGTGAAATTTCATCTGTCTCGTTCGGGATGGACGACAAAAAAGGAGGTATGGCCCGAGAAGCACGTCCGCAGAAGGGCGCGAAAGAACGAACGTGCTGATTACGAGCCGTTGAATTTCCCAAAGGAATTTAATTATAAAACCGGACCGTGTGGTACACCGCGACGACCGTCTCGATTAAGATGTCCGGGAGGATTGCGTTTCACGTGTGTACGTTCAGATAATTATTCGAACGCGATTAATATTTTCCTTTCCCTCCTAATCCTGTTAAGCTGTCGCGTAATCGATCGCGTCCACACTGAATAAAATTGTCGACGATAGCGAGAAAATAATCGTCCCGCGGAAAGATTGCCTTGTGTTGGATAACCCTCCTCGTGAAGGAATATTTATTTATAACAATTATCACCGTGCCATTTTGATTTGATATTCTACCTCCTGCACGCGCATATCGCGCAATATCCGTTTAATTTTCCTTTGTCTAACCGGTGGGATATCATTTGCTTAATTGCGCGGCAGAGCCGTGTTATTCTTTCCACTATTCGCGTTATATATGGTAAGCTCTTTGCATATTGTAACACGAGATATTACCGGGCAGGAAAAATAGAAACATTCAACATTCGCCTTCTTCTTGACGGGATAATAGCTAATGTATATGGTAACAATAATTGATATTATTCTAAAAGAATAATTTTCCCCCGGGGGCACGCGATATACATTCGCGCTATCCTCTTTATCAATTGGCCGAGCGCCGAGTGATTTGCGATAACGTATAAATATCGTGAAACAAACGATCTGCACGTTGTCAGAAATCGAGATTGTTTTCGCTTACTGCGCACAATACTCCGCGATAGTCTCAAATAAATGTTTATTCGCATTGTTTGCTCACGAAATGCTCTTTTCTGCACGATACTCAGTGGTTCGATCTAACAACGTGACCCCGTTTCCAGTATTATATGTTGTTAACATGCGCGCAAGAACCGATGTTGTTCCAGTGCGGCCGGAAAAATTGCGTGAAAATTTGATATGTAAGAACAACAATTTCCCCGCGAAGTAGAAAATAATAATCGGCGCCATAAATAGCTTCATTGTCGCAATCGTGGTACGGAACCGCGAGACTAACTGCGAAATTATGCGAATGGCGGGACCTTTTTGCCTATACACGCGTACATTTGAATAACGTCGCGCTATATAAATTGCAACCAAGCACCGCACCGCCCGTTGGTAACAATTACTTCTGCTTGTTATAGCGCAGAATGGAAATCAGAGTTTATGCGGAGCCTGCCTACAAATGGACAACACAGATTAAAGTAACACCCGCATATCAGAGGCATATCGTTATTCGCATTATCGCGCGTACACCGAATCGAAATTGAAATATGCAGATCGTACATTTTTAACATCGTACATCCGTTAATCTCCACTATTAATTTGTAGATTATTTAAATTCAACACGTGTTTCTCAAAAATTTGTTTTCCCATCTCTCGCGTTCGATAACTGTTGCATGCCTATATATTTTGATTTCTGATATTTCGTATATTCTGCGTATTCTCGATATTAATCGGGATTAATTGGCCGAATGCCAAACGTGTTCCTCCATCCGCCCGTTGTCGCATTGTTCGCACAAACCGCTCAATAACGCGGGTAATTTGCCGGAGAGAGTTCTTAAACTATGCGTGCACCATGCTGATTACTGCGGTATGTACCTTCGACTATCCTCCGATTGCACGCGCTATTCCGCGGTAGGACGAGTAGCGAGTGAAATGGAGCAATTAACGCTTGAATATTGTTCCTGAATCTGAAAATAGCTAACGATCGATATAAGGGGGAGGGGAAGGAGGGAGGGAGGGAGGGAGAGAGAGGGTGTCGGCGAGGCGGAGAGAGCGAGAAAGCACGTTGGGCGAAGGGCATCGTGACGTTTGTGGCATTCGTGACGATGTATGTGACTTCATGTTCTCGTAACACCCACAAACTAGCCGCGAGGAGATCCTATTCTCCCGACTTAGGCGCTTGGTGAATTACTAGCCCGGATTAAAACCGAATTGTTCCGTAGACTGTAAAATTGCATTTACGCAATTACTCCAATTTGCCGGACCATATATTCGCAAGAATGTAGCTAATAGTGAAGTTATTCTCATGTGCTACAATAGAAGTTCGTATTGTTGTGCGGTATCCTAAAAACAAACATCGCTTGTAATTATCCGGTTTTTTGAAACAAGTAGGTATGCTTTGCTGGCATATAACTGCTGCATCTCGAATACGAATTGATATACTTTTTAGTGTAGAGGTTTATCGAATATCAAAAATTCAGACGAAGAATTTAGATTGAACATTTAAATGACGTTGCGGCTTTCTAAACACGACCTTCGTCGATATCGTCTCTCTCATTCGCCGATGAAAATTTCACGCGAATACTCTCGAACGCGAATGTGTGTTCGTACGTGTTTGGCGAAAATGCCGTGTCGCGCGTTTGCGGTCACCGCGTAGTCGAAGAAGTGCAGAATTTATGCATAGCGCCGCGAGATAACGCGCGATAACGGACGAACGTGCGCGAAAGAATGCCGAGGCCAGCGTGAAAATGGAACGTGCGCGACTTCGACGCTGGCGTTAAGGCAGAGAAGGAAAATGGGGGATGCAGCCGCGGAAACGAGTGGAATTGCCTCTATAGAAGTGCAGCGTGCTACGAGGACGGTACACGCTGGTACGGTGCCGCGAAGTATATATATGCAAATTGTGAATCACTCTGGACCGCGCAACTGGTTACGCCGCCTACAGAAAGAGCCTTTTGCTCTTTTTGCGCCGGAAGAGCCAATATTCTGCAATTGGACGAACAAGCGTATCCGCCGTTCGTGTGGAATCGACTGTTCAGGAGATACGATCCCATGGATTTAAGATCCGAGAAGGAGGAAGAGCTTTTATCTTGATCGTAATTTTTTTCCTTTTACCGCGGGATACGTTATTATACAGCTTTTATCAGATACACTGCTCTGAAATACGTGACAATTTTAGATTGATGATCCTATAGTCGTTTGAAGTTTGGAACTTTCCTGGAGTGATTTTTTAATCGGAACATTTTTTATTTTGTATCTGGCATTAAGAAGTTACTTTGTGCAAAAGTAGAAACGGGTCAAATCATTTTTGGCGTAGTCAGAATTTTATAAGTGATCGAAGGGATGATTTATCGAGCATAAGGGTGCATCCGACGCGGAACATTTTTTGTTTTGTGTCTGGTACTTAGAAGTTACTCTGTGCGAAGCTAGAAATGGGACAAATCATTCTTAAAAAATCGCTCCAGGAAATGTTCCCAACTTCAATCAGTTGATGGTCCTAAGGATGAGAAGAAATGGAAAGTATAAGATAAGAAAAAGTTTTTTTTTTAAGAGTAGTATATTCTTATAAAATATAAATTTTTTTTACGTCAGCAATATTTTATTCTATTCTTTTCTCTATCTTAAAGAGCGAGGAGGGGAGATAATATTACGTTCTTCGGTCTCGCGCATCTGAGGTCAGCAGGAGTCGTTTGATATCGCGCTCGATATCGAGCGGCGGGAAAATAGAGGATCGTTTTTAAGACAATGATAATCAACAAGTTGACAGCTGAGTTTAGATCGGGCTTTGAAATTCGATAGACGTTTCGCGAGCGATTTCAGCTTCGTGAGCTTAGGTATATATTTTCTTGTGCTTCTCTATTTAATTGTGCTCGGTGCAATCCAATTCTGTGTCCCATTCTGTATTAAATATCTTTTGCAACAACCAGTGTTCTTATTTATGCGAATGCGCGCCGCGGACGTAACTATATATGTCTATATATATATGAGAAATATATATATATATATATATATATATATATATATATATTTCAATCGTTTCCGAAACTCTTGTTTGTTGATGTTTTTCGAACGAGAATCCTGATATTTTTGATAATCATATACATTCTGAAAGATTAGTTGAAAAGTCAAGAAAATATATGTATATAAAATCAAAAGAAAAATCCCGATTGGTTATTTAACTTCCAAGGATTTTTGATCGTTTTATTTCTTGCTATTCCCTGGCGGTCCCGTCGCCACTATACTTCGTAGTTTTGATATTTCCATTGTTTTCGAAGGACACGCTGGACAAGGCCGAAATTTATTCGACACGTACACAGCGCTTGCCAGAGAGTTATCGTCAGAAACGTCGCTGAAACGTAGCGCAGTCCTTTTGTAACGTGACACAAAACAAACCGCGAGCTGTCTCAAGTTTCCGCATTCAGTTCTATATACGCGCAATTTCTATCAAGCTTTCGCTAAATTTCTACTGTACGTAGTCACGCCTTCGTTTCGCCATTTTCCTTCGTGGAAAGGAGCAGTTGAGTGCGCGAATAAATTTAACGCTTCCTCGCGATTTATCGCGCAATAAGGCTGGTTCGCAAAAGGTCTAATGACTAAGCTACTTATATACTAGCTTGCACCGATGCTGCAAGCTTAGTAATCTGGTAATAGCGAGGATAAGAGGCCCCCACCGAGAAAGAACACTTGTTACGGGCGTAATACCGTCATTACCTAATTATAAGTTATAGAAAAAAGCTTTTTGTAGAACAGAAGGAAAGAAGTAATTTTTACCCTCCTCTCTCTCCTCCGCATAATCTCTCTGCAGAGGCGCGCGTTTTCGTATACCTTCGCTTAACTCGCGACGGGTGTAAATTTGCACGAGGATACGTATGTCGCCGTGGACAAGCTAACGGAATTCGGATTGACAAATTCGTTTTAGATCTCTTCGATAGATGCGAATCGCGGGAGAGACATGACGAAATCGAAATCCCGGTA